AAATGGTATCTGCGAATGAAAGACAGTGAATGTTTTAAAGATCACTGCATTTAATTTATTCAACCTAAATGCATGAAAGTACAGGTGGGGACATTATTTATGCAGGTATATGCAAATCACTTTATAAAATAGGCAAAGCCCTTCTGCTTTTTATAAGTTGCCAAGGTGGTTCCTGGTATTTTAAAAGCTATGCACCTTTCATGTAATTTCCTAAGGGTTGGAATCTCTCTGTTGGAATCACAGTCATTGTCAGAGCAAGTTTATTTTTTTCTCTCCTAAGGGACATTTACAAGGCTTTCATAACCATCACAAAAAGAGTGGTTTCCACAGAGATGTGACTGGAAAAATCCCTTGGAAATTGCTGAGGAGCAAGTCACAATGTTCAAAGCAGAGAACATAGGCTTTGAAAACATGAACCCATCTGACCTCCTGAATTTAGTGCAGCGAATTCCTGAGCTCTGAAACATGGGGCCCGGCTGTGCATGCCATATTGGTGCTATAAGACTGGCAGTAGGTTGGCTGTGGCATGGTCTATTTCAAACTCCTTCACAGTGCCCAGTGTTGCATGTTCCCAGATGACATTTGGTTGGCAGAAGCTGGGCCTCCAAAGCTGGCAGTCTGGAATGCGGCCCACTGTGTTTTGACAAACACATAATTGACCATCTGATCACCAGCCTACATTCTGCACTCAGGTCACTGAAAGGACCTGAGCTTTTTGTGGGTCCCCAATCCTTGTCTTGCTCATCTTCTCAACCCTTTCTCCAGACAGCAACATAGAGAAGACTTAAACATACCCACATATATACTCCCATTTGCAAAAGAGAACGTGGTGCATGAAACAAAAGCTGTTGAAAATTTCCTTTAAACTGTCCTGGCAGCCCAAAGTGAACAAGAGAAAAGCACAAATGAATATACTGAATTGTTTCAACACCCGGCTGTGCATAAGTTGGAATTCAGCTCAATGGCTTGAAACTTCTGCTTAAAAAAGGCAGCAAAGGGAAAATGATAGAAGATTGGGGCATTGATTGACTTTAGGGGGACATTCTTAAGAAATGGTTTTATTTTCAGATGAAAGATGAGAAAAGCAGGACACTGGGAATGGCTTCTCCATATCTGCCTGCTCCACCCCCAAGTCCACTAGGGGAGAAGGAGTCACACATCCCTGGAGACTAGTAGGCAAACAGCTCAGAGTGAGGTCAGATTTACACTGAGCTCTCTCGTGAAGCTCCCATGAAGATATACTTTGATCTGAAATTTGGCCCCACACAATACATCATTCTTTCCCTTAGAAGGCAAGGACTTTGCATTGGGCCAAGATATGCTGGCATTATGCAGTGCCAATGCCTATATCAACACTACCATATGGGCTCTCCTCTCTACTCCCACCCCCACTGCACAGTTCAGCCCTTGGTCTTCACCCTTGACCTGGTCTCCTTTTTTTTTTTAGTCAACTACCTCTGCCATTACCAGAGGGCTCTTTTTCGTTTTTATTATTTATTTATTTTAGAGAGAGGAAGGGAGAGGGAGAGAGAGAGAGAGAGAGAGAGAAACATCGATCAGTTGCATCCTATACACTCCCCAACCGGGGATCAAACTTGCAACCTAGGTAAGTGCCCTGACTGGGAACCAAACCCACCCCCTTTCTGTGTACAGAGCCAATATTCCCACCAACTGAGCCACAGCAGTGAGGGCAGAGCATTTTTTTTTTTTTTCTAAAATACAAATCTGGTTACAATTCTTCACAGGCTCCTGAAGGCTTCAACGTCAAGTCTAGGCTCCTTCCTGTGCACAGCAGACCAGGCAGGCCTTCTGAGATCTGCCTCCTCCCACTTTCAGATTTGTCTCCAGGTTCCTCTTCCCACCACATGTTCCTCCACACTAACCACTGTCCTCTGCAGCTTGCTGCTGTTCGACGTCTCCTGACTTTGCAAATGCTTTCACTTTTTTCCTAATTATGATCCTCTTCTGCTTTCCCCTCCTCTACATCCACCTAGGAAACTGCAATTCATTCTTCAGACTTTAAGGGCCAGCTTGAGTACCCCTTTACATGTATGTAGGCATTCATTTCTCATAACCCTCGCTACATCTTGTATATACCTCCATCTCAGCTTCTACCATACGGTATAGCCTTTGTTTACTATTTAGCTCCGCTATCATACTCTGAGATTCCTAACAACAGGCAGCACTTTTTATTTATTTTGGAGTTCCAGGTATCAAGCCTAGTGACTAGCTTCCCATAAATGTTTGTTGACTAAAAACTGAATAAAGAGCTGTGCATGATAATTACAAACCAAGCAGTAAAGTCAGCTTCTATAGGCATGTTAGGAGCCTCTTAGCAATCTAATGAAGCTAGAAGATCCCAGAAGTAAGGTACTTTCTGAACGTTATCACAGGGGGATTGTAAGAGGGAGAGGTAGATGGTGGGATGGAGAATGTCTTGTTAATAGAGAATGTCACTAAAGCAGTGAATTTTCTGCTGCTTCAACACTTAGTATTAATAGGTATTATTCAGAGAATGATCAGGGTATGAACTGCATGGAGGCCTAACGTGTAAGAACCGGTTTCCCAAATAGGGCAGGTCTGTGATACCTGCTTTAAGGCAGCAGGGTAGGTTATTGAAGGCTCTGCCTCATTTCTGCTAAATAATGATGAAATGGAAAACTTTAGGGGGAACATCTGGAACCTATTTATCCTATTGAAATCCATGTCACATCCAGATTAGGACTTTGGACTAACTCAGTGCCAAGAAGAGAAGGTCAAGCAGGCAGATCTGAACCCCTGTCTGAAGGAGGCCATTGCAGAGACCCCAGGAGCTGGAAGCACTGGGGAGATAATGCTCTGATCTATTTCCAGGAACCTTTCCTTTCCCTTTGATGGGCATCTGGGACACCACCTCTGGAGACATCAGCAGTGTCTGTGGGGCACTTGAGGACAACAGGACTGTCACAGGCCCTGCCACCCTTGAAATAAAGGCAGGCCTCAGGATTTGGAACAATCCCTGCGAGCATGAAGATTGGCCCGGGGTAAGACCAGGTTAGTGGGTACATGAATGATTTATTAGCCCATTACAGGTCATTCTCCAGCCTCATTTCTAGTTAAAAACTAGGATCTCTCTATAAGCTGCTCAGCTGATGGTTGACATAGCATAGAATCACTTTCACATTTTCCTATGAGCCAGAGACAGCCTTTCAATTACATTTTTTATCTCCAAGGTCTCCCTCTTGATCTCTAATCCGTGACACAGACCTTCAGTGCCCTGTACTGTTGTGTCTGAGGCTCACTCTACAGTGCTGACGTCATAATAGCTGAGCCATGCGGGCAGGAGTGCACTGTGCTGACTCATCCCGGTGATGTGAGGATTAATGCCTTGTCTAACACAGAGCTATTATGTGAACTGTTTTTACACAAAGAACTGTAACAAAAATGATTTGCCAGCCAGAGGACTAGAAATAGGCAGTGCGAGGTAGCTGGGGCAGGGATGCAGAGACATAAAGTGGTAACCATCAGCACGTACACTGACACCCTCTGAAGCACTGACAGACCCACTCTGTCAACACCGAGAATAGGAAACAACAAGACTGTCAGGGCAGGGAGGACCCACCCCGGCTGCATAAATGCATTATGCACAGCACCAGTCTTCGGGGAGTTTAATCAATCTCCTTTCTCTGTCAAATAACTGTCAGTTTAGACTTTCGCCTGGGCATCCTTTGGAGGATTCTGCTCCACTAAATATATTTAACTAGCTTCTAAGAATATTACTGGAAGCCACACACAAGCAAAAGAGCCACGGGGACCCCCCCTTCTGTGCAAATGATTATAACACCAGAAATACCTGGGAGTGAGGACTCAGTGAGGTAAGATAGGACGTTGTGAATAAGGAACCAGCTGTGCTCACCTAAGAGTGGGAAACAGCTGGAAGAAATCACTTATTTAAATAAATAAATGATTACTTATCACAGAAGGTGATGCCACTACCTGTAGCATCTCTTGGGTGGGGTCTCATGCAGTGACTTTAATTATTTAGGTTCATTGCCCCAGAACCTCTTTCAAGCAGCTCAAAGTAAAATTTATCCAAAATCATTCAGTGCAGCCAAGTTTGGGCTTCAAATAATAAATATTACTATGGTATCATCTGCAATCAAGTTGTTTTTTTCTCTCCAAATGACCTGCATCTTTTCTACAACAGAATGGCACCTTTTATAAACCTCCTGGTGCATATAATCCTGGATTTCTCTCTCCATTTCTTTTCCTGAACTTTATAATTTTACATATAATTTTACCTAAATGGTTGAAGTCTTGTACTTCTCAGTAAAAGGATATTAGAAATTTGGTCAATAAATGAAAGCTCTGATCTAGAAGCTGAAATTAAAAACAACTGAACCACCTGGACAGTGTGGCTCAGTGGACTGAGCGTTGTCCCATGCACCAGGAGGTCACAGGTTCAATTCTTGGTCAGGGCACATGCCTGGGGTTTCAGTCTCGATCCCCAGTGGGGGCTGTGCAGAAGGCAGACAACCAAAGTTTTTCTTTCATCTATGTTTCTATCTCTCTTTCCATCTCCCTCTCTCTCTAAAATCAATAGAAAACATATTTAAGCAACAACAACAACAACAACTTTGAATGGGGATGGGTGTGTAACTGAAGAATACATAATTGGCCATTGACCGACAATGTAGCAACAGCCTAGTTGTTGCGGGTATCTGGCTGAAGAATGTGAGCTACAGTTGAGGAGCAGTGACTTTTGCAAACAGCAGCTGTGACAGAGTAAAGAGCAGTCTTTACAGAAGTCCAGTCACTGGGGCCACTGGTCTTTTCAGGCCCCTCATGGATGGCAACTGCTACCGCCATCAACAGCATCGACTCCAAACACAGAACAATCTAAATCATGCTGAAGAAGCGCCGGAAACCACAATGAAGTCAACTAGATAACATGCTAAGAAAGATCCAAATTTCCCACATCTGACACTGTTTTGAAAAATAAAGAAACCACTTCTACTTACATACAGAGAAGGGGCAGGCTGCAGACTGATGGTCAAGGAACTGAAAAATCAAAGAAAAAAACAACAAGGAATTAAAAATTAACTCAATGGTACTATGGGGAGAAGGAAAGCAAATCTAAATACTGTATAGACAAGGGATGGTTGCTCCTAAAGGACGAGCTGCAGGAGCCCAAAAGAGATCCAACTTCATAACATTTTCCAAACGTGTGACCTTCTGTTCTCCAACCAACACAGTACTCCCTACCCCAAGAAGTGCCAACCTCATTCTTCGTGACCTTCATTCTGATCTGAATCATATGAGTATTTTGTAGGGTTGTGCTGTGCACTAGAGTAGCCACTAGCCACATTTATTTATTTAAATATATAATTACAATTTAATGAAAACGTAAATGTTTAGTTCTTCTATCACACTAGCGACATATTCAGTGCCCAGAAGATTCTCTGGACAAATTCACCACTTCCATGTGTTGTCAACCTCGGTTGAGGACCTGGGTTGGTGCTGGCTGAGGACTTGGTACTGCCTCCTGTACCACGTCTCACCAGCCAAGCAATGTCCCCTCTGAAAAAATTATATTAAGATAATACATCTGTCTCCCAAAACATATCTCTAATGATAACAACTTTAGGTTTGGGGGAGTTGACCTAAACAGTTTCTCATTCCTTATTTCAAATTTAATAATTCCCCTTTTAAATCTTCAACTCACAAGCCAAATAAGCTATAGGGACTGATCTGCTCACCATTGTTTTGATAGCTTCTCTTATAGAAGAATAAGATTGAAGTAACAGAAGATCCATGAGAAATTAATAAACCAAACAAAGATGCTGAGAAAACTAAGTAGGTATTCCCACCTCCATCCCACTCAAATGTATCAAGGACTTAACACTGATTGCATTCTTGTCTCTCTGACACCATGATTTTAACTACTTCACATAAGGCTTCCAGAAATATGCAAAACAAACCATATTAAAAGAGATCAAGAAGGGTATGATTAGACAACTCAGCATAGAATAAGGCTAAAGCAGAAAAATGGCAATTAAAGAGATTTCACTTCTCAGCACATTTTCTGGACAAATGCCGATTGCAGAAGTTCCTCCAAAGAGAGAGTTTCTTCTGCATTTCCGAGATGAAACCCTGTCTATGCACATGCAAGTGTAAAGGTGATGTTGCACTCCATGGACAAGAAGGGCTAAGATGAAAATCCAGGCATAACGTATGCAAAGAGAAGTTGGGGTTTACAATGCTTTCAAAGTGTTTCACAAAATTGATGAGTCCAATTAAAATTTTAAGCAAGATAATTAGATTATTTATGATTCATTGAAAGTACATACAAAACTGAAATGTATATCATATATGACTGACTAATCTTCAAAGTCTTCAAAACTCTAAGTTTTATTACATTCTAGTCTCTTCTGCAAGCCAGGACCCTAGACCATTGTAGGGTGCATCTTTTAAAATATTTTTCTTTTCCTTCCTTTCTCCTTCTTCTCCCTCCATCCCTTCCATCTTTTTCTGCCCTCTCCCCCAACTTTTTTTGAGCTTGCTTTGAGAGAAAGACAAAAAATATGATTAGTGGTTATCTATGAAATATGCTTGCTTATCGTTTTTCTGTTGCATGTTATAAACTCAATAACTCCCAATAATATAATATGCTATTTTTAAATTGTACTTTGTATTTATGTTCTTATATCTAAGCACATAATAACCCTTTCTAAATTTCAAGGAGCATTTTTTTCATAAAAGTTAATCAATCAAAATTAATTTTTTGATGTGATCAGAAGAGATCGATGTAAATTGTACCCAGATTGACTAATAAATCCAAGGCCTGGAATAAAACAAAACTTTTCTGGATGTCAAATGACACACAGGCTGTCCATGACAGGAATCCAAGATGGAAAGAAAAATCAGTGTGTTATGTCACAGTCTAAGACAAATTCAAGGAAAGTGAAATAAAAGATTTTATTGGATATAATTGTTGTCTTTATATATTAATGAAAAACAACAATACCTATCCCAATTTTAATATTAAGGCTAAATATTTAATCTCAGAGTTCTTATACAATTCATAAATGTTTATAAACATCAAAAGGCTCCAACTTCTTGATTGAATTGCAATCTGGTAGGCAATTTTGAGACTATATATTAATCTCTATAGGTTTATTTTTGTTAAGTTCAAATTGTGATTTTATTGATATGCATCCTTTCTGCCTAAGTGATATTCACCTTATATGTCTGTAAGTTGTTTTCATCTGGAATGCAAAGAATTATCTATAATAGTTTTGCATAAGATTAAAAACATTTGCATTGAGCATGCTAGGTTCCAAGCATAAATATCTAGCAAAGAATATGTAACTGCAAAGCCCAGAGGAATCAGGACCTTGAAATATGGTGAAAGAGGCAAGAACAGAGAGGAGGTGACTGTGGAAGTCTAATCTTAGTTTCGTGATTTCCAACTGGAAATTATTATATACTATCAATCTCCAAGGAACTAAAAGTATTATTAATTGTAACTTAAATATCAGTCAATTCTGATTCCAATTTATGTAATGTTTAGGGTAATAGTGATAAAGATCTCAGTGAGAATCCTTTCCTTAGAAACTCCCCCAGAACACCAGTTTCAAGGAGCTCCCAGACTCCATGAAAGTCATCCAGGAATTCCAGGTTAGTAACCCTAAGGGGAGGAGGAGAAAAAGCTCTTTCAATTCTACTGCTCATTGTGTCTAGGACAAGAATGTCAAACTCATAGCCTACAATGAATATTTTTGTGGCCCAGCCAATATTAACGGTATGTAAGAAAAGTTTCAATAGAAATTTCATAACTTATTTTTTACAATATCCTGTTATACATAACTAGAGGCCCAGTGCATGAAATTCATGCATGGGGGAGGGGTTATCCCTCAGCCCGGCCTGCACCCTTTCCAATTTGGGACCGCTTGAGGGATGTCTGACTGCTGGTTTAGTCAGTCGGATATCCTTCTTGCAATCCGGGACTGCTGGCTCCTAACAGCTCACCTGCTTGCCTGCCTGATTTCCCCTAACCACTCTGCCTGCCTGCCTGATCACCCCTAACCCCTCTGCCTGCCAGCCTGATCACCCCTAACTGCTTCTGCCTCGGCCCCTACCACCATGGCTTTGTCCAGAAGGAGGACCGGGCAACCAGAAGATGTCCAGTCTATCCGGTCTAATTAGCAAATTACCTTTTTATTAGTATATATTATTAATAATGAACTACAAAGTTTTCTGATGACTGATTACTATAATCATGTTGCATTCATTTCCCTTACGCACCTTACATGTAGGCGCACCATTACTCTCCACTAATACTAGCAGCAAGTATTTTAGCAGCCGATTGCCATGTCATTAGTCTTGTACTGACTTGTTTGGTGTGCTCAACAGGAAATATTTTGGTTTTGTAGAATAAGAAAAATAGGTTTCTTTGTGTTACGCTTATTAATTTGTGCAGTTAATCAGTGTCTTAGTTAATGTTCAAGAAAAATAATTAATTTTTATTAAAATGTTCTATTATTTCATGTTAATGATTACTCATTTATTTCAGCCCTTTGTATTCAGCATGTCTCTATCAAAATAAACCTACATTTCTATGAAAATAGAAGCTTTTTTTTTTTTTTTTTGCAGTCCACATATACTTAAACCTTGTTTATTTGGCCCGTGTTAGCCTTTGAGTTTGACATGCTTGTTCTAGGAAGTTTTACCAAGTTGCTATATGCTGAAGCCAGGAGTAACCAAATGTATAGAAATTACCTGGGAGAGTGCGTATGACTAGAGAAACACAGATTAAAGGCCTCCCAGACCTTCCTAATTATGTATATATATATACTTTTTTTAAAGTCCATAGAGCCTTAGGAACAATGAGGTAGAGAAGTAGTGAGCAGAGAAATGATAGCGTTAATATTAATGAGTTCCTCTATGGCTTCTGGCATCCTGCTAAATAAATGCTTCTCAAGTTTGATTATGGGCCTATCCAGGGAGGTGGAGTCAAGCAACTGGAGTACAAAAGCCACAAAATGAATAATGAAGACATGGTTGTGTATTTGGTGGGGCAGTTGCCCTTGTGGCTAAGTACATAATTTAAACTCTTATTTGTACATGTATTCATTTATCCAATAACTATTTTTTAATGTTATAGAAGAAATAAAACAGATACTCTTCTTGGCTTCGTGGAATTTCCATTTTAGTGAAATAAACAAGACTATGAGGAGTAGAATGCAAATCTGTATGTATTTTTAGGGTGAAACCTGAGACCTGGCTGACAAGTCTCATTTGTGGCACACTGCTTCAGGCAATGTCCCTAGCATCCTGAGTATTAGTTCAGTCACTCTAACTTCAAGATCACCTATTAGAAGAATTTGAAGGGCAGCATTAACTGTCTATCACTTAATCCTAACTACACAAGTATATACCTTTACTTCCAATTGACTTGAGAAAAAAAAAAGGAGATTTGAAAAATTGGGAAACTTACCCCAAATCACACAGCTGCTGGGATCTGAATGAGGCTGTACCATTCCAAAGTCTACATATTTTTAACCACTAAATTACACTACCTCTAGGTGGTTCCCACTTCATGTTTTCCCTTGAAATCTGGGCTCATTCAGGATTTCGGAGGCTAGTTTAAGCTTCGCCTTTGGAAGAAGACAGGTTTGGCTTGATTTGCATTCTAAATATTTCACAGTGGTAAGGGAAAGCTATTATTATACCCATTTTATGGTGCGGAAGCTGAGCCACTTGCCAGCTGAGGTATCTGGCTGGGTTAAAAACAGAATCCCAATCGTCAGTTTCTCATTCCTCTTGACTAACCCCAAGACTAAGTGCTGGTACTGTCCAAGGGCTTTTCTGCACATGGAATTCACCCCGGCTGATAATGAGTGAGACAGACTTTGCTAAAAGAAAATAATAGTGCAATAAAAATATGGAAATAAAAATTGGTTACTTTTAAGCATTGTGAAGAACAAAGGGAGTGCTATTCATCACAAATGAATCAGAAAATTAGAATGTGTCACAGGACTGATGACAGAACTGAGGAA